ATGAAGACAGAAATATGAAAAACATCGATCTGCCCCGGCTTTTAATTTGCCCCGGCCCGGGTTTGCCTACCCATTTTACCAACACTCCCTCTGACCTCTGACAAACTTCATACAGAATTGAAGATATTTTCTCTCTGTATGTTTATATAGTGGAAAGATACCACAAATGTATATATTCCAAAGTGAAAGTAGAATATTTTTAACTATGGGACCTTTTATATCTTTGTTATCTAATGTGCTTCGAAATGAAATGTTTCAAAACACCAGGACCATTCTTGTTAATGACCAGACCAGGCAAATATTTCTCTATATGATTATTCACCGTCAAGCAAGGAACATCGAAATAAAGAAAGATAACTCAAATTTTCTTACGACAAAATTATACAAATTTTTGATCGAAAAAAATCTAAATATTTGTTTTTTTCTTTGGTTTTAGATATATGATATAAACAACATCACACCACTGTTTTGATCTCGTCCTTGGTATCAGCCCTCGGATGGTCTGGCTTGGGCTGATACCAACCGCTCTGGCTGATACCAGGGCCGAGATCAAAACAGCTGTGTGATATTCTATATCTAATATTTACATTTGCAAATGTTTTCCTTTATATCATAGGCGCTCCCCATGTAATTCTGTAAATGACGTATGATAAGTATATATAGGTCTACCCCTCTATACTATAAAATATCCAAGGCCTGCAACTGGGCGCCATTGTGGATTTCGCCTGGGACCTCTGACTGAATATCAGCATCGGGTACTCTAATTTATTGAAATAAAATATTTGCAAACTTTTATCCAGCACCATTCCGTTGCTTTCTCTTGTTTTCAAACATTTCTCTATTACACCGTCACACTTAGCTGATCTCGGCCGGAAGAAGTCGATTTCGTCGATTTTCAACAACTCGTACGAAAATAACTTTCGGAAGTTTGACAATATTTAGTGGAGAAAGTACATAGGCGCTTGGTTTCAGGATGGTGTATTTTGTGTATTATGTGTTTTTTGGTTTGTCTGAATACCCTGATTAAAATAAAAATGAAAACTCGCTGAAATTAGCACGTTTTAAAAATGTCATATTCCTCGGAGTTTTTTTTTCTTTCTGGGGTACATTTTTTTTGTTTCTGTACACAAGCCCCTGTGATACTCTTTGAAAAAATAAAAAAAATATTATCTCGGAAAGAGGTACTGATTTTCTAACTGATTTATTTTCTCTACACAAGTCGGTATAAGCTAGACAGGCATGTAGCAACAGGGGGGGGGGGGAGGGGGGCTGCCCGCCCCTGGATTACCTTTACTATTGAAAATGTGCATTGAAAGGTTGGTTGCCCCCCCCCCCACTCATACCATAGTATTGTGATATGAAGGAAAATGTACTAGTATTGTATGGGGAAAAAAATGAAAGTGAAAGGAAGTTGGCTTTGAAAAAAATTGACCACTACCCCACCCCCCGAAATAGGATTTTCGTGTTTGAGCGGTTTTTTTTTTTTTGGCTTGTCAACTTTTACAGCTAAGTGAAAAAAAAATGTTTCTCTCTGGCTGCCCCCCCCCCACCCACCCCCCTCACTTTCAAAAACAATGCTACATGTACGTGCCTATGAGAGTATATATACTGTACACATGACATTTTTAAAACGTGCTAATTTCAGCGAGTTTTCATTTTTATTTTAATCAGGGTATTCAGACAAACCAAAAAACACATAATACACAAAATACACCATCCTGAAACCAAGCGCCTATGTACTTTCTCCACTAAATATTGTCAAACTTCCGAAAGTTATTTTCGTAAGTTGTTGAAAATCGATACTTCTTCCGGCCGAGATCAGCTAAGTGTGACGGTGTAATAGAGAAATGTTTGAAAACAAGAGAAAGCAACGGAATGGTGCTGGATAAAAGTTTGCAAATATTTTATTTCAATAAATTAGAGTACCCGATGCTGATAACCAGCCCAGTATACCCCAGAAACCCTTAAAGTAAGTCAGTCAGAGGTCCCAGGCGAAATCCACAATGGCGGCCAGTTGCAGGCCTTGGTTATTTTATAGTATAGAGGGGTAGACCTATATATATACTTATCATACGTCATTTACAGAATTACATGGGGAGCGCCTATGCTTTATATAACACTACTGAAGGCAAGCGTTTTTATAACTGTGTAAATACAGGTATGGGGTCAAGAGGTCATAGATGTGCGTTTGGATAAACGTTCGACGTAATTTCTCTGTGACGTCATAAAGGTCGACGCGCGTATAGTGGATTACATACATGCCGTTGGGTTTGAAAAATAAACGCATTTCACACGTTAAAAGTAACAATCAGGCAAATATAAAGTATGAATAAGTCACAAATGTAAATATAAGTAATAAGGTATCATTTTTTGAGTTTTATTGAGATGTAAAACGGGTTGGCACATGATCAAATCTTCCATAAAGCCCTTCGGGCTTTATGGGATTTGATCACGTGACCAACCCGTTTTACATCTCAATAAAACTCAAAAAATGATACCTTATTTCTTAATTATATAGGGCCTACAGTGAAATATTAGTACTGTATCTCGAAGTTGAGGGGACCTGGGCACTACTTTGATACAGTTGTATATCCGGGGTTCGAGATATCCGAAGTTGTCTTCCAAAGTCGAATCAATAATTTCCGAGTTTTTTATTTTGTATATATCTATTCATGCATAACACTATCCTGTATTATCAATCATGTAGTCTTTATGATGAATGATTTTTTTCATTTTCTTTGAAAAAATACCCCCCCCCCCCAAAAAAAAAATTAATATGAAATAATTAAGAACTAACATCGGCCTTTTAATGCTGAAACCATTGTTAAAAAAGGATGACTCAAAAAAAAAAAATAAATAAATAAATAAAAAGTTGATGTGGCATTCCACCTAAATAGTGCCAATGCAAATTTTAAATACATAATTTTACATTAAATAATGAAATAGGCCTACCTGTAGATATTTATTTTTCTCATAAACCTGTAGTTCAATTTTATGAATAAAAATCTTCTCGTGACTTCCTTATTTAACAACTTTAATTTTTTTCAATTTATTCTAAACTACATTTGTGTAAATATACAGTCCCTAAAAATATTAATTTACTTTAATAATCTTTCCTTCTTAAAAGATTGTAAGAAATCCTTGCTTTTTAATAGTTTAAACTCCTCTCCTCTGCAGGTAAACAAAAAAAAAAAAAAAAAAACAGAGAGCCTGCAAATTCAGAAAACACAAGGGGGTGGAGCTATCATATCACTCAGAACCTTTTTCACACATGAGTGAACAAAGCAGTCCCAGAAAGCAGGCACAGGGACAGCTGGGACTGCTGGGTCTGCTTTTGGAGCAGTCCCATAGCTGTCCCAAAGCAGTCCCGGGGACTGCTTTCTGGGACTGCTTGGGTGTCAGGTTGGGTCTGGTCGGTACTGTTTCACGTCGAGTTGACAGGCGCGAATCTTCAGATCAAACGAAACGCGAAGTGTCGAGTTTGATCTGATGATCCGCGCCTGTCAACGAGACTTGATACGGCTCTTCGGATCAAGTTACCGATATAATGATAAATGTATTATATATCCCCTTCATCGTCTCAACCCACGGTCAGGAGTCAACATATAGGCTACATGCAGCTCTCTCCTACCCGTAGCTGCTTGATCACAAAAAGTGTCGTAAGCTTGAATATTTACGCCTCTCTTTTGTGACGTCATATTCAGTCAATGACAACATTTGTTTTCATCGCAATTGAAATCAACCATCAACAATTTACATAAGCAGAATATTTCGTACACTGCGATTGGGTATTGAAAGATCACATCAAAGTTCATTTTCCGACTATGCTTTACTCGCATTGGTCAATAATTTAATGAGCTACGAAATATTATCTTCTCATTCAACCACGGCCAGAATAGGAAAAGATCGTACATTATGGCCGTGGTTTGCGACGGTGATACCCTCTTTTAACAAGCTAAATATAGCAAAATAAAACTTTAGAGATCATTTGTATAATATTTATACATAAAACAAAGCATAATTTCAAGGGACTTATAACGCGCAAGAAAAATAAAGTCATGTTTTTGCGTACTACGCCATCAGTTTAGTGGTGATATGGATTCAGAAAACCATAGTGTGCATGGTGATCTGGAAAGTCGGATCACGACGCCACGCGATTGCGTAAAATCAACAGAAAAACTGAGTGATACACATTAGGTATATAATAAATCCTTAGAACACTATGCGATAATTGTTGGGTATGGGTTATATAGAGACAAACTGACAGGAAGCATAATAATATCACATATAACGTAGTATGCAGGTAATATTTTACAAGCACTTAGCATCAGATGAAGGGAGCGGTCCCCACCAACGTTTTTCCAAACATGACCTTTCACTATCGAGAATGTGCATTGAAAGACAGTGTTATACCCCCTTCCCCTTCCTTTTGTTGCTGACTAGTCGTACTAGGATAACTAAATTGTGAAAGAAGTTCCAACCACCCCACCACAGAATAGGAATTCAAAGTTTGGACAATTTTCTTTTTCTACCATATCATATTATTTGGGAAAAATCGGGATTATTTCTTCGCCTCTTTTTCAAAAGTGATACCATGTGCCTATTAAGTACAAATAAGGAAATATAACTCTTACATTTTCTAAGTTGTATATATAAAGTTCGATATTTTCTAGGCCTAGAATATAATTCATAAATGAGAGAGATTTAAAGGGTTAATAATTTTGTATTCAGTGAATGCCAGACGCTTCTAATCCAAGAACATTTAGTAGGTTATTAATTAACTGATAGGTTGCTTTTTATAACATTAATACTTGTATATATATGATGATGATTATACATACATACCTTGATTTAAAACCAGATTGTAAGCATGTCATCTTTATATTATGATTGATAAGAATTGTAGTAAACAGCTCTGGAAGTATAGAGCATTAGAAACTGAGATCAGCCAAAACACTTCTGATAATGTCACCTGATTTATTATCAATCTTTATCTACAGTACCAAGACGAAGTACTAGAAGTGGAGGAAATCAACAAACGAAACCTTGGGAAAATGATTATACGGCATGTCGGACATGAAGGAGTGGATGAAAAACCAGATCTCCGGCGTCTTTTGCAGGCTTGCATTGACCACCTGCAAACAGAGTCGGAGAGTTTTTGGAGGAATGCCTCTATTACCATTTATGATGAAGATGATAACATGTACAAAATAGCCAGTGGAACGAAGAAGCACCAATTCATCTGCCGGATGAAGAATGGAGAACCGTTCATAAAAGATAAAAAGGCTGTTTCGGAACACAAGAAGCCCAAGCAGAGTCAACCTCCATCTACGGCTCATGGCCATCCTCATAAAACTCAAGATAAAAACTGTGTCATTTGCTAAATGGGACAAGAATTACTCTTGTACAGACAGAAAATGACCAAATCTTGATTTCAACCATTTTTTATAGAAGAAAACAGACATTGATACCGATGTTACCAATGTTACCGATGAAACCGATGTTCTTTGTGTATTATGAATCTATTGGTTTTGGAAATAATCAAAATGTGAAAATAATTAACCAATTTGCCTTCTTTTTTTCCTAAGTAAAATAATTCTTTCATTCATGCATTTGTTAACAAAATACATATTGTTCCGAAAACAGTTTCTCGGTGTTCTTGCATATGCATTTTGAAGTACCCTTTTCCTTGTTCATTAAATTTATCAGAAAATTTTAAATATAGGGCCACTTTAAAAAATTATAGTTGCTTGCCCTCTCCCGACTCTGTGTAAAATTACTGGCTAGATAGGTGGGTATGAAAATCTATTTCCAGAAAATTTCAACATATTCGTTAACAGAATGAGAGGAATAATCAGTAAAAAAAAAATATCGTGTCCTGGAATGTAAAACAGAAAAAACTTTGAGTCAGGCCATTTTTAGTCAGTCGGTCGGGAGAGGACAACCAAACATATTTTAAGAGTGGCCTAGTTATCTTACAATGTTAACTGGAAAAATGACACTTCAAAAATATATAACATATTTTTCAGAATGCATGACCTGAAAAGTTAAAAGTTTTATTTGACTTAAAGTGAAATAATTAAGGATATATAACACAAACAAAAATTTGATGCATGGATTGACAAATATTTTTTGACTGATTTTGAAAGGAATGACATAAACATACCCGGTACAATTAATCCCTAAAATAGAAGGAAATCATGTTTTCGTTGGAGCTCAAATATTATGTGAATTTGTATCGTTTTGTATGTAATTCTATATAAAATTGTTGCAAAATTTTGATAAATTTCCCCACTTTACTTGAAAAACATTCAAGTTGCCTATTAGAATATTAATCTATGAAAAATATGCTGATTTCTGAAAAAAGTTTGTGTTATTTATTCTATAAAAGTCGGTGTAAAATATTTCAAGGTATTTTACTCGTCAGCCTTTGAGAGAAGTTTGGCGAGAACCATTATTACAATTCAATTTTTATGCCATGTTTGAATTGAACAATACACGTAAATTTTAGAATATTGAATTTTTAAACTGCTCACAAAATTGTAAAGAAACAAAATTTATGGGGGATTATTTCTTGTGCTATGGCATAATCAGAGGATTTTTTTTTTCAAAATTACGCTCTTTAAAGCCCTCTATATTTTTTTACCCGGAGAATTTTTCAGCCCACTTGGGCCGATTTTAAAGCTCAAATGAGCTTTTCTGGTCGAAATTTGTACGTTGTCTGTCGTTGTCGTATACTTTACATAATTTCAATTTCTTCTCCAAAACTACTGGGCCAATTTCAACTAAACATAATTGGGCGAATGAAATTCATGTTTGTTCAAATGAAGGATCACGCACTCCTCCAAAAGGAGATACATGTAAAAACAAAATAGCGAAACATGAATGACATCATTGAAAAATCTGCTCAAGAACAAATTTGCCAGGAAAGATGCAACTCATATGTACGGAATCATTGTAAGATAGTGTAGATTTAAATTTGTTCAAGTCATGGCATCGACGGTAAAGGGAAGAAACAATGGACGATCAAAGTTTTACATAGGAATATATAGGAAAAAACTTTCAAAATATTCTCCTCAAAAACACCAATGTTAAGTCATATTTTTGTTAAAGCCTCTGTAAAAACCATGACCGCGGATGTAAAGACGAATAATAACCCCCATCAAATAATGACCGGGGGTCATTTTTCAATGACAGAAAATGACCCCCCACCCGTTAAAAAAAATTCGTAGAAAAAGAGCCCCAGGGGTCATTATTTTATATGTGAGTCCTATAAAAAAAATGACCCCCGTTGAAAAATGAGCCCTTTCAGAGTGATCCAAAATTCAAAAGTTTAAATCGATACTAAGCATCCAATCGCCAAAAAAATTTCATTCTATCATTTTGAAAAAATTTCATAACGAAATCATAGGAACAATAAAAAAAAATACATGTGCATGTACTATGCATGGTACATATCTTTATATAATTTTCAGTCTGATCAAATGAAAATAGAGTTAAGTATCATCACAGAATTATTGAATCAAATACAAGTGCCACAAACTTGTATCAAAAATGACTAATTTAGAATGTCTGAATGCTCACAAAAAAGGACGTTCAATGTGCTGATATCATGGATCTTTGTTATGGATTTTTGTCATGTTATGTGATAATGATGATGTTCTATCAAAATAGAAGTTTTAAAAAATCATTGTCATTTGCAAGTGTAATAATTAGCGATTTCAAAACAATATTTACTAAAGCTATTTTTCTTATAAAAACTTGTACAAGTTATTAGTTATTTTAGGATCATCTAGTAAGCTCATGGCTCACAGTACCTCTAGTTTTGAAAATCTATGGGTTGTTTAGATACTCTACGGGTATATGTGCGAAGTATATACATATATAATAAAAAGAATGGTCTTCAATTAATTTTTCATATTTGACACAGTATGAAGAAAACGTTACAAAAATGAAATTAAATGTTCTGATTTTCATATTAAAAATGCTCTAAAAATATACACAGAACAGAGTGAAAGGGTGGAATAAAACAAGATTAAAACTAGAGGTACTGTGAGCACTGAGTTCAGTAAGTGATACCCCTTGCCTCCCATATGATTATATGAGCAAAGTCCATGCTTTGCTCTGGCAAACACAAAATGAGCGACAGATCATAGCAATAATTGTATAATTTAATGAGATCAACATATCATCAAATTATTCACAATTTAGCTCAGTTGAACATTTTGGCCAATAGGTCTCTATTTTTTGCCCCCTAAAAATTTTGACTTAAATCAACAAGGGGGTCATTAATCTACGGAGGTCATTTTTCTTCACATGGGGTATCCAAATTTTTAGGGTGATGACACTTTTTCTACGGGCAAAAGGGTCATTATTCACCGTAGAATTATGACCGGGAGTCATTTTTCGCCATCGAAAAATGACCCCCGGTCATTATTCTATGGAGGTCATTATTCGTCTTTACACTCACAAGTTAAAAATTGACCCTGTTGAATATTGACCCCACCTCAGAGTTTGAACATTTTTTGAACTGGGAAGTCGTTTTACGGATTTATCAGTATCTCTATATTTATATTTCGGTTTCATTTTTTCCCTTTTCAAGAATAATAGAAATAAACCTATCATCCCGTGAATATATATGTACATTTTGATCAGTACACGATTTCAGCTATCTTCAAGCATGATAACTTTATTTTTCGACAATACTTTTAAAATCCATAGCATCCATACATTACTACAAAACTATGAATAGGGCGCAAAACAAAATCCTGGAAGTCTGGTTTCTAGAAAGGGAGCCTTATATATATTGATCAGGTGGGCAGAACATATCATTTAGTCATATTCAGTATAAAAATTAACAAAAGTAAAAGCCTAAAAATTAGAATGAAATACATCGGCCAAAATGAATTCAATGATAAGTTATATTTGTGAAAAAGATCAAAATAGCAACCATAGCATGTTGGTGAAATCCTTGTAACAAACTTATCTGTCAGTAGCCTGCCTCGGCTTAAAAATTGATCGTTTTCGGAGCATAAACTTGAGAATGAGATTATTTTTATTCTAAAACATATCATTCTTATTCGATACAATGTGATTCCTATTCGATTAGTTTTTATTCCTATTCGATATAATTTGTAATTTGTATTCGATAAATTGCTATTCCCATTGGAGAAAATATGAGAATGTGATTCCTATATCAGAATTCTTTTCGAAAACACGCGTTTCTTATTCGATATCATTCATTCATATTTGAAAACATGAGATTTCTATTCGCTAATTTTGTAATTCCTATACGATAATTTTATCCTTCTTATATTCGATAGTTATTTGGTTTATATGCAATACCATTTCTATTTGAAAAAAAATGTGATTCCTATTCGATAAACTTCTTATCTTATTGCATAATTTTATTTCTACCATGCGTTGTTTTTGTTATTCTTTTTCAATAATTGTATTCTGGGAAATATGACAAACCTAGAACTGGTTGTAAACTCAATTAAATAGGAATGGCATGTTTAACATGATTATCGAATATAATTATTTTATTTTCGAATAGAAATGACAAAATCATCGAATAGGAATCACATATTTTCGAATCGAATAACTTCTTAAAGGTGATGAATTCTCGAACAGAGGTAACATTTTTTTCGCACAAGAATAACAACCAATCGAATAGGAATCACATTTTATCGAACAGGAATGACATGATTTAGAAAAAGAAAAACAAAATTTTTGAATAAGAATAACAAAAAAGTATAATTATGCAACGTTTTACCCGCCATACCATAAACAGGTGAATATTACTTTACAAATACGGAAAGTTCACTTTGGAAAATATGAAGAAGAAATCACTTCTTTTCTTGTGCAGTGTAGTTTCAGTTGGTCCTCATCTTCTATAGTCAGTAAAACTTCCAAACATGAAACAGCTGTGGCACATTAAGTGGTGACTTTAATTCAGAGTTCACTGGGATACATCGAGTCGACATATGAACTAAAAGTAACAATTTGTTACTTGATCATACGTCATCGGTGTATCTAATAAATGTTGAGTTGAACCCCACAGCAAGTGTTTCCTTCTTGTCATGTAAAGTATTTTTAAAAAAATTCTAATTCTGCTTCATTGAAATATTAAAACAGGTCTGCCAATAAAGGAGCACAATTAGTGCCCATCGAAATTCCAAGTTTTGAAGGAAGATTTGTTTTCCGAAGACTGCATTAAACGGATAGAGATAAGGAACTCCAGCTTCCTTTTAATATCAACTTCAGGATACTTTTAGGTAGAAACAGGGTGATTTTTAACAAATTGATTTTCGTTGATGACCTATCACGAGATACGAAAATTTCTGAGTACCATTCTTATTGAGAAAGAAGTTGTTCATGATGTAAAAATGTATAGTTTAGAATTTGTAGTGAGGAATGCTTGTTTAGAGTGTACAAAAGCTGTACGTTTTGATGTTACTGACTTTTGAAAAAAATGGAGATTTCAAATTTTCTAAAATGAGGGAGGGGACTAAGCATCCCTAGCCCCCCCACCCCCTTTTTCCCGACGCCTATGGATTAAATCACAGTTGTGAAAACCAAGTCATAAATATGTGTTTTATGCTGTTGAATTTAGAACAAGTTTCGTGATCAAAATTCCACGACCCGGCTCAGTTTTCAAGGGACTAGGGTCTTAATTCAACACCTTTGGTCTCAGTATTCAACGTTGAAAAATGTCCCCCATGTCAATTTTCAGCCCGGGTCAAATACTGAGTATAAACGTTACACCAGCGGTCGGGTGGAGCCACAATTCAAGCTTATTAATTAAATTAAAACACGATTAAAGCTTACAAGAAGTATATAGGAAAAATCCTCAAATATCTTTTTCTCATGAATAGCAAAGCTATGATTGGTCATATTTATATGGAAACATCCCCAGGTGGTGTATGTTTAAGTTTGTTCAAATCATGACCCCCGGAAGTAGGGTGGGGCCACAATGGACGATCAAAGTTTTAGATAGGAATATACAGGAAAAAACTTTTAAAATCTTCTCAAAAACAGAAAAGCTATGATTGATCATAAATGTAATAATGCCAAAGCGGATGAAGGAGATATTATCCATATATATATATATGTCAGAGATGAAGATATTCACAACGCCGCAATTTCTACCTTACAGTGTTGTAAGTTGGGTTAAAACATTAAAATAGACTTACAGTGTTGTAAGTTGGGTTAAAACATTAAAATAGAATTTTTTCTGGAAAAAAGCAAATCTGAATGAATATAAAGACATTCTTATTATGTATTACACAGAAATGATTATTTTGATAAATCAATGATGAATTATAATTGTTTTTAAGATAATTTAGTAGTAAAAATTTTTTGCCACATGCAATTTAACTGTACATATTTGAATATAATAATAAAGAGGCGGACCTAACAAAATACAAGATACCAACCGTCGTGGGCTGGAGGTTTTGATGCATTTAGAGTTTCCAAACACACCTTCAAGAAAATGTAAGCAAAAAGAAAGGATTCGTTTGGGTTCCATTTGAAATCTTGACCGAGTAAAGTAATAAATTTTCTTTTCAGTCTTCTTATATTCATTCCTTTTTTTCTATTCTGGCATTATTGATAGTGAAGTTCCCTCACCTTTTACCGCCACAACCATCAAGAGAGAATACATGGACTTGATTCTAAGCCGATGGCAGTACACAGGTAGTTATATTGACGCAAGAGAATTCTTCACACATACAGCCACCTCTTTAGAATCCGTGTGCATCCTCAATGAATCAGGAGACCCTGTGGCCTGGGGCTTTGAATAACATTACGGAGCTATCGGGATTATCAATATCGGAGGAAGAAACTTGGAAGTGCTGTTGTTTCCCCTCTGTCGAAGAAAATTCTGAGGAAACATGACTTTGTTTACAATTATATTGCATAAACAACTTGGGTATGAAGAAGTTGAAGTTTATCCCGAATGTATTTTTACCTGGTTCTATTACGAGAATGAAAAGAAAAGAGTGGACGAATCTGTTCAGTAAAAAGACTCTTACATATGTCTAATTCAATCAATTTTTAATTCATCAACTCATATGGAATATTTTAGGGGGGAATTTAAAAAATATATATTTGAAATATACATTATTTAAAATTGAGTTTTATACAGGGATGGTTCATGTGAATTTGATGATGTTTTGTTCATGTTTTTTTCCTTGAGATCTGAAGGTTTTCAGGTAGGTAATTTTCCGTCAAGCAGAAACCTCAGGAACTATTCCATTATGGAAAAAAAATTGTATCACGATTTCTTCCACTAGCTGTTAAAGAGATTTTTATTCCTTTTTTCTTAATTTTCTCATGGAAGTAGTGTATATGTACTTAAGCATTAGTCCTACCTTAAAGGTGAAGTAATTGATCAGGATAATAAATAAATGAATCCTCCTGTTTAGTCTAGTGATAAATATGGAGATAACGAACAGTATTTCAGCTTGTTGTCCAGTTTAGTAATACAGATAGGAGCAGAACAAACACAAGCCTCCAAAAAACATCAGAGGGGAATCAGGTGCCATAGGTGAGAGAGCATTTCTATTCAATCAATCACTCTCGTCGTGTTGTCCTTGGCATGATCGTAAAAAAAAAATGGGAAAAGTTAGTGGACAATTCGATCAGTGTATAAATGATGGGCTAAAATTTGTATTTAAAAATCAGTCGGCATTTGATTCAATTATCGGTCATTGCATTGACCATAAAACATGCGAAATGATGACTTCAAACGATATTGTTGATACCTTTGTCCCATCAACCTGTTTTGTCAATAACTTATCTCGATTACGAGCAAACTTTAAAACGATCGTTTTAAAGTTTGCTCGTAATTGTATAGCATGAATTTGTTTATTGAATCAACTGAGAGACGTACACACCATATGCAGGTAATAAGGGTATATCGCTGCATAAGTTGTGGATTGAAAAGTCATCTGTTTATATAATATATATTGAGGATCTTACCACGAGCAACTGACCAATCGTTGAATGAATAGCAACGTTTACGCCAAATACATGTACACACATTTCACTTCGAACACGTAGTGCAGGTCAATCTACGATCATGTTTATGGACTGCAAAATAAAAAACAAGAAACTAGGAAAGATGTTACGGGCGTTTTTAATTTGTTTTTAAATAGAAAAAATGTTTAATAAAATGTAGTTTGTGTCTAGTTTAGAACACCAGCGCTTCAAGGGTAAGGAAAACGAGCAGCATCTCTTATGCATTTTAAATGGACACAACTTTGTTTACGTTCGTGATCACGTGTTCAGCCAGGGAATTCACCTGGCAATTGTATTCACCGATAGTACAACAAAGGAATTAATACAGACGCAAATCGCTTTTGCAGTATGACTTTCAGAAACCTAGACTTCCGCGGTTTATTTAACAAATGAATTGTTTGTCATTATAAGCATGAAAATAATATTTTTTAAAATGATTTTCATTTACCATAAGATTTTTCCTGTTATTTCAAGCGTAAAATTCCTGTAGTATTCATAGTAACCCTTAATGCAATACTCATTCAGCTGATTGGTCAGTTAAAATCATGCTGGTGCCTCATTTGCTAAATTGACGCCAAAAAATGTAGTCCCGGTTCCCGTGCAAAAAATATTTGTCCAAAACGAAATTTTAATTCATGACTGCAGAAAATTGTATTATAGAGAATACTTATGTAAGTTTGGATGAATGAAGTACATTTCTACATACTAGTATATTATCAGCTGATTCTAGGGTGGTGAAAACTGAAACGCAACATAACTTTTCTGTTTACCATGCCTCAACGTGATAGTCATTTCCTAACCACATTTCCGTGAATAATTTACCCTATCTCGCTGAAGTCTCGCTAACTCTCGCCAGAACCACTGCCAGAGCCACTCTGAACTCATCGGGTTTTATAATTTGCAGAACACCGAAAAATAAAAGGTTCCGAACACATTAGTAGGGGTGAGAAATATCAAAGGTGATTTTTTTTTTACATAAAGATACATCATAGTCTAACTGATATTTTCACACGTTTAGAAGCATCTATCTAAAATATACATTTATATAATGTAACAGGAAAGGAGAAAATGCATGGCTGGACCGGGAATCGAACCCGGGACCCCTGTATCTCTAGTCAGGTGCTCTACCAACTGAGCTATTCAGGCCGATATCCACGGCCCAAACCATTACATTCCTCCCTCGTTAAATTGTCTTCGCCCTCGAAGACACAACCCAAGTTCTTTTTTGCCCCTGGCAGGACTTTCACCTGCAATTCCAGGGGTGGTCAACGGCACCAAATCTAACGGGAGAGGAGAAAATGCAGCAGACCAGACCGGGATTCGAACCCGGGCCCCCTGAAACTCCGGTCAGGTACTCTACCAACTGAGCTATCTGGCCACCGGCGATCGAACCCGGCTATAAAGGTCTTTGGCCCTCCAAAGACCCCAACCCAGGCTCATCCCTGGCAGGTCTTTCACCTGTCAATTCCAGGGCATGGCACGGCACCAAATGTAACGGGAGAGGAGAAAATGCAGCAGACCAGACCGGGATTCGAACCCGGGCCCCCTGAAACTCCGGTCAGGTACTCTACCAACTGAGCTATCCAGGCCGATATCCACGGCCCAAACCATTACAATAACAAATATTTTCCATAACCATATGAAACAACTACGATATTACTTGGTTATTTTAATAAAACTATAGATTTCAAGTTTTCCCTCAGATATTCCCCTATGACATGAATGTGCTCTGGTACATGTCGTGCTGAATAAAAACATCACAAAAAGTGTAAGTAGATGTTTGATATCATTTATCTAAAAAAAAAAAGAGACATTCCATGATAACAAAACCATTTTTCTCTATATTTAGGTGAGGTACATGAGACTGAGACAAACTTTCATAGAATAATTCAAGAAGTTTAGGCCTAATATATATGTTTATATAACCAAGTGACCCATTTTTAAGGTATGGTGAACTTATCAGTTAATGTTTCATGTATAAAATGTTGGCAGGTGGTTTTGCTTTATACGTGTACATGTTTGTGTAAGTGATTCTTCATGTGCTGATATATTCTTCATCATTCTTGCTTTGCATTGATTCTTATGGAAAGTAGTTTCTGTAAAACATGCAGATGTACACATAGTGGCCAGCTGCTCAGAAAAATATAGGAGCTTGAGTTTAGTAATCCGCTGCACAGGAAATATATAGGCAAAGATTACAAACAAATATACTAATGGTCAACTGCACCAAAAAATAAAGGATCATTTTACAGTGGCCAAATACAAAAAAAAAACAAAAACAAAACAAAACAAAAAAAAAAAAAAAAAAAAAAAAAAATCCTTTGGAGTTTAAAAGTTTATAGTTAATAAATGCACAATAAATAAATAAATAAATAAATAAATAAACATCTAATAAAACAAGTTTAAAAAAAATCAGATAAGCTTTTAATTTTTGTGAAAAAAAAATCATTTATGAAAAATAGAAACTAATGGATAATATCCTCAAAATATGATAATAAAATGTTGTAGAATTCCTCCTTCAATATATAAATACAGGCATAGTTAATTAATAAACTTTAATGTAAATACTAATTGTACCCCTTAGAGGGCCCGATAATCGAGGGTGATAATTATACGTTTGTTTTGTTCAGTAGACGTTCAGGGAACACACCCGCAATTCTCTAAAACATCAGAGGTGGGATCAGGTGTCATGGAAGAGTAAACATCTGCCTTTGACTCATCACACCTGTGGTGTGCTCCTCGTCATGATCGAGTAAACGTGAAAAAAATCAATAGAAATTCTGCTATTTCTTAATCCAAGACTTAGATGACATTTATTTCTTAACCAATGAAATATTTGCGGATATTTTCATTATCTTATTCGAATATACTTTGTGTTTTTCAATATACCAACGTGTATATGGTATTTTAGAAATAGATTGAACTTTGGGTAAATGGTTTTCATTGGTTAAGAAATATATTATTTGATTCTCTTGAGATGCATTTTATCTCACTCTATCCGAGTTAACAATGATGGCATTATTTTTTTTCTACAAGTAATACAATTATAATAATATCTTATTTAATTATAACCAGTTAACGGAAGCTGGAAAGAGATGAATGATAACAACTGGGTTTACCGTTTTAATTTTCAGATCAACGGCACCCTTTATCTCAAATCAGTTTCCCATAATTCTGGTGCAATCCAACTAAACTTTTATACCTATATGCCTTTTTAAATATCTTTTTCACGGGTAATTTTTTTCTCCTTCACGATTTCCTAACCATCGCACCAAGTGTTTTTCAAAGAAAATGTTTTGCTCTTTTTTTTTAAATTACCTGTATCAACAATTTCTATTTTCACATCGTTTTCTTGTCTTCATTATATCATATATTAATTGTAAAAAAATTGATTTAAATTTCAGATACATTAATGTTTTTATTGATAGTGTACTAGTAAAGTTCAGATGGAGGCTTACGTTGTTCTGCGAGAGGAGGAGTATCCCACTCTTCTAGAGGAACTAAAAAAGCAATTACCAGCATCACTAATGGTTAGCATAATTAAAACTATATTCTTCTACATTGAATGTCATTTCTGAGATATATAAATGTTCGTTTTCTTCATCTATTTCATTGCTTACAAAACGAATTGTAATTTAAACTAGATGTACTGTAAGCAATGAGCTCACTAAATGATACCCCCGCGTCCCATATGAATATAATGGGAGAGTCCATGTTTTGCTGTGGGAAACCCAAAATATGTGTCAGATCAAAAAGCAAAAAAGGAGGGTGCACAATGGCAATATGTCATAAAGATTCTGTGAAAGTTTCTTCAAATTTCATTCAGTGGTATGAGAGGAGTTGCGGATAAGAGATGGCTACCCCAAAGCGTAACAGACAGACGGACGGACATACCGATTTCTATATACCCTCCCGCTTTTCAACCGGGGTGGGGGGGGTATAAAAATTATAGCGTGCTTCAAAGAGTATTTTACCTTACTTCTGTGCTTTTACTGTGAGAATGACTATTTCATTATCTCATTTGTTATTCTAAAAACAATCAAGCAAAATTCACTATTTGAGAATAAAAAAAACTTTCCTAGGAGGTGAAATAAAACATTATTATGGAGAAGATATAATGGACGTTGAATGAAAAGCGTACTGTTAAAAGAAATACTATGCTCAAATAAGTAGACTAAGTTCACATTTTTTCTATGACACATATGAAAATATAGACTTTTCTCACAATACAGAATAGTCTATTCAGAAAATCATAATTCAAAATACTAGTACGAGTTAATAATAAACGTCAGATGGTGAACATAATGTAACTATCACGTTTTAGAATTTAAGTATTTAATTACTAGTATTTAAGTATTTCACAAGAGTTGGAGGAAGAATGTTTACTTAGTACAACTAGATCGAAAAAATGTGTACTTTCATTTACTTTATTTCTATATAGGTGTACTATCCACTGATGTTATCCCAAGAAAATCTTCTTCCAAAGTTTAAAACAATCTGTGTTGACAAATGGCCGGAGTTTACTTGTGTCTTAGAAGTGGAAAACCTGGTATGTTGTATAGGTCATCAACTTTGGATAGGTCATCTACTTTGGAGACAGCAGGGAATGTGCCTTGCATCAAATCTATTTTTTAAACTTGGTTGTTTTTTGGACAACCCAGTAATATTTCTAGATTGACAAAAACGATACCGTCTGATCTTCCTATTTTGTTATGCAGAGTAAAACGTTTACTTCAAATAGATAAAATATTGAGGTAAAAATCTAATATAGTCGTGAATTTTCAGGCTGATGACGTGTCCCCACACAGAGTGAATGCCTACTGTAGGAGGGAGGAATGTAGTGTTAACCTATATAGCATGATCTGTCAGCTCCTTCAGAAAACACCATCGGATATTCTCATTTACGGTAACATCATTCATTGTAAACTACTCAAAATGGTTATGGTTTTTCGAAATACGAATGTGTTTTAAATACAAAGACGACTCTGTTCTTTCATGTACGAGGATTGCCCTTTGTTCTATTCTGAAACCAGGTGGACCAAGAAGGATGAAGGAGATAATTTCTAAGTCAAACGATTCAAACAGCTCTAGGATATCGGCTTCAGGGTGCTGTAAGCATTTCCATGATTTTGTTATTCAAGTCTAATAATTGTAAAGTTTTCATTTAATCACTTCACTTTGTGAATGACGCTTTTTCCAGGATGTGTTCTTTCGATAATACTGTAATATGTACGGATGTTTTTGTCTCTTTTGCAATCCATGGCTTTTCGGTCCTCAATGCTTCCCACAAAGCCATCTGCATCAATATCTCGCCATAGGGCTTAAGGAAGCTCTGCGGTCTGAAAAGATTTGGGTTGAGAATATTCCTAGTATATGAACGTATTTGAACGCACGTATATGAGGACTTTCCCTCGCGATTTTCAGACTTCGCAAGTCTTTATGCCGATTTATTATTAACAATTACTTTCTTTTTGCGATTTCCAAATACCACTAAAATTGTTGCACGCAATTGAAAGTTAGTTCAAAATGCATGTATTTGATCAGTTAGTTAAATCAGTTAATCAACATTGAAGAATACATTTATCATTAAAGGAACTGTAAGTGAATATTAATATTAATGTTCTGATTTCATTTGTTTAAACAAAACATAGGTGGATCCAAGAGTGTTCGGGGAACTGTGCCCACAGATTTGCTAATTCACAATGCCTACAGAGTATCCAAAGATACCTTAAAGAAAAGGTAGATTATTTTCCCCCCTTTACATTTATCTAACAATTTATATCTGAAAACCATTTGTTTTATAAATCTTACCTCTTTTTTTCTTTTGTTTTTGTTTAGTGAAGTCCCTGTACATTTTTCTGTTACAACAATTAAGAAAGAACACATGGATTTAATCCTAAGTAAATGGCCGCAATCAAAAATTTTCAGTGATGCAAAGGAATTCTTCACACATACAGCCACCTCTTTGGAATCCGTGTGCATCCTCAACGAATCAGGAGAACCAGTGGCCTGGGGCTTTGAACAACATTACGGAGCGATTGGGATGATTTACGTTTTAAAGGAGTATCGGAGGAAGAAACTTGGAAGTGCCGTAGTTTCAATTCTGTCGGAGAAAATTTTAAGGAAACATGACTTTGTTTATGCAGCTATTGAGACAGAAAACACAGAGTCTATTTTATTGCACAAGAAGCTTGGCTACGAGAAATGTGACATATATCCTGAATGTATCTTTAACTGGTTTTTTTATGAGAAGGAAAAGAAAGGAACAACTAAATGTTGTCAGTAAAAGTACGTATATACAAGCCATAATTATACATCTCAGCTAAAGAAGTTAATAAATTTACTTATGAAAAACATTTTTAAGTTTAAAAAAATATTACATGTGTAATTGCTTATATCTTGTAATTGATTCGGTATTCAAGATAAAACATATGGATATAACAAAATGTATTCAAGTTCAAAAGTCCATAAAACAAAATAGGAGCAGAGCAAACACGGACCTCTCAAACATCAGAGGTGGGATCAGGTGCCGTGGAGGCGTGAACATCCCCTACTCTATCGATCATAAAACTTACGAAATGATGACTTTAAACGAGACTGCTGAAATTCTTGTTTCATCAACTTGATTGTCAATTTACCTCTTTTTAGACATTGTTCATACGTAGAGCATGCTCTTGCACACCGAATCAACTGAGATATATAAACTCCGTTTACAGGTGATGAAGGTATATTGCTGCATAAGTAAGGGAAGTTGACATCACGCTTATCATAGAGTTTGGTTGTTAGATTACCATTTACGTCCATTTCAAGTAAAATATCGGAATCCAAATATAAAACAGAGGTGTCAGACTTGGTGGCATCTTTTATCTCAAGCTCACCAGGATATATCTTATCGACATAAGAATGGAAATTACCCATGCTAATTGACAATACGTCGTCGATATATCTAAATGTTGAGTTGAAGGCCACAGCAAGTGTTTTCTTCTTTTCACGCATAAGAATTTTGCACAAATTCTGCTTCGTATGAATACAAAATTGGTCTGCTAATAACGGGGTGCAATGGTACCTGTGGAAATTCCAACAGATTGTTGGCAGACCTGCAGGCATGTTTACGAAGCTATCTTATGAAAAAGAAACGTCTTAAGACATACTTACGACATTTCTTGTGGGGTTTTCGAAAGTATTGTCACGTTACTTTTTTGGGATGTACGTGAACTTATTTGATTGTAGGGGAATACTCGCTCGGGGTAATGATTAACTTTATTCTCTATCTGGATTGCTCTACACGTGGGATAATTTCCTGATTTGGACTGCCCTCTACGATGGCTGTAAAAATCCAAAGAATAAAGAAATAATATACCGGGTATTTTTAATAACTGAAGTTTATTTTTTTAAATCGTCGATGAAAGTCAAAGTGTATTTTAATTGAAAAATTCAGATTTTTGTAGAGGACAGTATCGTAACTTAAGAAAGTTCTTAAGAATGATCTTAAAGTTAAGACAGCTTTTGACATATCTTAAGTCTATCTTAAGCAAAAATGGTTGCATTACAGTCATACAACACTTTTAAAACGTGCTAATTTTAGCGATTTTTTATTTTAACGTGAGTATTAAGCACAACTAGAAAAACAAATAATAATTCGAAGACACTATTCTGAAACTAAGTGCCTATGGTTGTTGCTTGCTCGACGAAATCGTCGTATCAGACGTGACAGAGTATTTAGAGATATTGATAACCCTTTTGACTAACTTGATGATGAAGCTATAATAAAAAATGTATGTTTTTCAAGATCCTTAATCCATGATTTATTTGAACAATTTCAAAATGAACTCAAACGTCCTTCTATTAGGAAGTCCTCAGAAAGCATGCAAAATCATGTGTATTTCATGTGTAAAAAATTACTCTTCCTCATATACGCCATTTTGAAATGCCCTTCCTGATGTTAAATTACATATATTTTTGTGTTTATTTTATAATGTGGTAAAAGGAGTTAATTTTTTGAAATTATAATTTAATCATATAATATAATTTTCAAGTCTGCATGCATATACTTTGTAAACACAGATTATGACATTCCCCTCGAAAGGTGTTAATTGCTTTGAAGTAACTTCTTGGCCGGATTGACACTTAATTATGATCAGTTCCTCATGCAGATGCACAACACATACAAAATGAATTTGTTAAAGATGTAATCTGTTACATGTTACAGTAACAGAATAAAACAATTGATCTATAATAAAAAAATGTATGTTTTTCACTTAACCTGAGAGAGCAATTTCAAAATGAACTCAAACGAGAGAGAGCATGCAAAATCATGTGTATTTCATGTTACTATAACATGTATAATGTTTTTTTTTTTACCCATGGTTAGAATGACCTAGTTCCTCATGCAGATGCACAACAGGTTCTTCTGTTAGGTTACAGTAACAGAATAAAACAATTGAATCTCACTTAACCTGAGAGAGCGAGAGAGAGAGTTTACATGTTACTATAACATTTATAATGTTTTTTTTCGGTGACCTAGCTCTGACCACAGGTTCTTGAGGACAGGAACATCCCCCCTTCGGGGGCTTTTTCGGGGGGGGGGGTGTAGGTAAACTTTTTCTCAGTATCAACTACTTTTAGTACCAATTCTCATACTACATTTTAGGTACATCGCTAAAAGTGGGGGGGCCAACCAGGCTTTCAATTAACATTTCCTATAGTATAGGTAAGGTAGGGAAAAAAAGTGTGGGGGGGGCAGCCCTCCCCCCCCTGGCCTCCCGGTTGCTACGCCCCTGCTAAAACAAACGTTCTATAAAATCTACCCTCCATTCTATATATGAAAATATATAGAGAGTGGGGTAGAAATTTTTTTTATATTTATGTTAGTTTAAGCAAATTTTCTGAATTGATAGGATAGATTATATCACAAAAATGTCATTGTGTCATCCATATATAATTTATGTGAAAAAACAGGCCCGGGGTTCTATACTAGGGGGGGGGTCCTGTCCTCAAGCACCTGTGGCTCTGACATACTTGTGCATGCTTCCCGCCGATTTTGCACTGTCTTCTATTTTGTTTCACTCATATAACAGGACCTTTTTTTCTTCACTTTTTAGTTCTTCCTGTAATTTGTTAATTTTCTCAAATATTGCCTACAATGCTTTTTTTCTTTGAAGAATTTGTAAAACATTGAAAAATTTTAAAAATAATATGGCATTGTGTTAACCACCACATCAAGCAGTATTTTGAGAAAATTTAAGACTTCTCTTTCGACTCATCTCCCCCGTGTCAGCGGCAGGCGGTGGCACGATAAAGATCCCTCACTGCTCAATGGCCCTGAGTGCTGAGTAAAGGTCAAAATTTGAAGCCCTTCACCGGCATACGGTGACGTCTCCATATGAGTGAAAAATTCTCGAGAGGGACGTTAAACAATATACAATCAATCAATCAATCGACTTATCTGCTGGGTGTTTTCTTGTCGAAACAGAAATTGTTAATTGTATAAGGGTTCCACGGATTAAATTGGCGCGCTTTTCATCTTCAAGAATTCTGAATGATCAAATTGCATAATATTTGAATTTTATATTTCAGTATATAGTCGAAATTAGATGATTATTTTAAATATATATATATATTCATATTCATAGATTTTTCATAGATTTTTTTTTAAAAATCAATTTTTTTTTTCAGTCTTTTAATATTTTCATTACGATGACATAACGTGTAGCATTATATAGCAAAAATGACAACTTTCTAATTCCTGACAATGGTTTTAAACTTTGCGTATTTCTATGTCATAATGATACAATAATCTTACGATGATCTTAAAATTTCCTCAAGATATGTCTTAGGAAATTTCTTATGAAATCTTAGGAAATGTTCGTAAACATGCCTGCTTGACTTATCGTGGGGAATGGTTGTGTATATAGTTGAAAAGTCGTAAGTTTTTAAGCTGTTGATTTTGGTGAAATCTTGTCATTTCAAATTGTCCTAAAGTTCCTGATGACTTTAACTTTTTAATCGTCAACTCCCCCTACTTATGCATCAATATTCGTAATAACTACGGACAGTCTCGGCAGGATTCTAAACCCATGACCTTTTGATCACGGTGTGAGCGCTTTACCGATTGAGCTACCGACACTGTTTTGACTTAATAAAGACAGAAGTTTGTTTTCTAATGTTATTTTACAAAGAGTAGCTCTTTTTCAGTAAAGAAGATTTTTTTTTCAATGTTGAAATTTTGGTATTGTGTCCAAACAGAAAAGTTTGAACTTTGTTATCACAAAATATATTCAAAATTCTGCCCTTTAAAATAATTTTATGGTAAATTTATCCAAAATCTTATACATTAACTATATAGCTTTACTGGTATGTTTTCACATTTTGAAGTGGAAACCAAAGAGCTAAAAAATGTTTAAGTGTTTTCAATATTATTCAAATGCTAAAAAGTGAAATAAAGTGAAAGTCATTCATATAATACTATAAAAATGGATTACAGGGAATTCGATTTACAGATATGAGTACATCGACATCAAATTTTAACATTATCATGTTTCATCTATAGATTTTTTTTCTTTATAATGATTCTGCATTGCACATTGCAGTATTTGAATAGTGGATTTTAAATCTATTCTCTGCTTCTCTGTACTGCAGTTAAACAAACAGGACAAGAATCCTTAATTGTATCTACTCCAACTCGAGAACATATTTGTGAAAACTTGTGTGGAATTTTTTCTCTCAAAATAATCTATAATATTTGATAGTGTTGAAGGTATATATATTGTGTGCAAGATAACTTAGACATTATATTCTTATAATGGATTTTACACTTCCAAAATGTAAGGACCATCCAAATCATACTTGTGAATTCTTGTGCAGGCAATGTAGAGCTGTGATTTGTGGTAAATGTCTTATTAATTCCCACAACAAGCATTTCATGGAAGACCTGGAAGATGTCTGGAAATCAAAGAAAGAGATAATTGAGAAAGATCGTATACATTATACAGCATGGGAAAAGGCTTGAAGAAGCTGTAAGGAAAGCCAAAGATAGTTATCTGGAAAGGTTAAGGGAGAGAAAGAAAGAAGATTTTATAATCCTGCAGAAACAAAAAGACGTCATCAAAAACAATTTAGAAAAAGCTCGCAAAATGGATCGTGTTATACCAGGTAGTCACAGTACCAGTGAAGAAATCCTCGCCTTCTCAGTCTATATGTTGCACGTCAACGAAAACCTGCGTTTCTTTGCGTTTAACATGTTCATGTTTTTTGTATAAGATTAAATTTTAATTCCTGCTGAATCATTTAATAGCATCAGACTATTTTTGTCCCCAATTAAATTTTCTGTCTTAAACTGTTGAAGGTTTAATAAATTCAGCTGACAAAGTTTGTAAC